TTTTCTAGAACTCCAAGCCCCACCCCAGGCACAGCATTGCAGCAGTTGCGCAGAATGAGTGATTCCCTCGCTGCTATGCCTGAGAACAATGCAGTGCCCCAGGCATCTCAGTCAAAGAGTGATGAGTCTGGTGGTGAGTCTCCACCCTTACATGACGTGGAGCGGTCTTCACAGTCTCAGGAAAGTGAAGAGTTATCATCACACAGTTTAAATACTTCAAAACTTTCTCAGCCTTCCAGTAAGGATTCTGATTCAGAGGTAAGTCATATCATGAGACCCCTGTTTGTAAATTTATGTGTAAGAAAGAAAAAGGTGTTAATCATACGATTGAGGAAAATGTGCCTACATTATTTAATTATTGGTTATGTTAATTTTTCATTCTGTCTAGAAAGTTAACATTTCAGTGATTTGAAGAACTTCTCTCTGTATCTTTCTTTTTTCCAACTCCTGTACATTTAAACCAACTCTATACTTCTACACACTGTGTGTTCAAGTTTTGGCATGGTTCATACCTAGGCAGAGGCCCCAGGCACAGTGGCTCACACCTGTAATTCCAGCCCCTTGGGAGTCTGAGACAGGAGGATCGTGAGTTCAAAGCCAGCCTCAGCAACTCAGTGAGACTGTGTCTCTAAAATACAAAATAGGGCTGGGGATGTGGCTCAGTGGTTGAGTGCCCCCGAGTTCAATCCCCAAAAAACAAACAAACAAAAACCACCTAAGCAGAATAATCTATAGAATAAAAATTTATTATAAATTTGATACTTAAATTAATATAAGCTTAAATTCAAATAACATTTGAGACCTTATAAAGAAATGACCCTATTAATGTGAAATTGTCTATGTTAAGTTTTAGTACTTCAGAAAATATAAACTTTCATTTATTTTTATTTCCTAAACTTTATAATAAAATAAAATAATAATATCAGTGATTTTATTAAGCATCCTAACCACTTTTTTCTTCTGTATAAAATATCTTTTATTCCGATTTTGATTTTTTTATTTCTGACTTTGATTTGATTAAAATCAAAACTCCTAATAAGTACTGCTCATAAAATCCAAGTGACATAGTTTAAAATGACCTGGTGGCATTATCTCAAATTTACCAACATAACATTCTGTTTTATTTTTACCCAAATAATTACCACATTGTAAGAACAATTACAAACACAGTAATATTTGAAATTTGATGTCTGATAATCCTGAGTGTCAAATGACATCTAATAAATCAGTACAGCTTATGTTCTTTAAAAAGAAAATATTTAAGTTCTCAAAGGAAACTTGAGTTTGGGTTCTAGTTGAAGGAAAATACCAAGTTAAAATGTGGAAATAAATTGTTTTCATTTGAAGAAAGCTGAAATCAAAAATTTA